CGTGTTACACGCCTCAATGAATATCATTATAGTCTGACCCACGATAGCCTTGTAGATACATATTACGTATCTCATTCTCTCTCCTTCATTAGAATGGTTTTATATTGGAAGGATTATTATTATGGAAGAGTAATCTTGATAAACATTTTGCTGGTTTGGATGACTGCATGATATGCTTCAGTATCATTCATGGATCTAATTATTCACTACCTAAAATGATATGTAGAACTTGCAAGAAGAGATTTCATTCATCATGTCTGGTAAGGTAGTTCATGTACATGTATTTTATTGAGTGTTGATACAGTGAATAGATATTACACTCATTTGTTCAGTTATTATTTATTTTATTATTTTCCTTTCAGTATAAATGGTTCAGTACTAGTAACAAGAGCAGTTGTCCTCTCTGCAGGAACATTTTCTAATTTATTTTGTGTGTCAAAATTTTAATCTTATTTATAAATATATATTTAAAATGCATTGCCAAAAATGTATTTTAGAAAAAAAAATGTAATTGTGGTAACTGGTAATTCTATGTATGTTTTCTTTTAATCCACTTGCATCCTAAATACAGTGTAATAATAGATTATTAACATTATGCAAGTTCAACTCACTTATGTCTTCAGCTGCATCATTTTCTTTTTAATATCTTCATGATCAAGTGCTTTGACTAGTGAACCCCATGAAGGTGAAACACCATCGGCTCCTTCCAACCATTTCACAAGTGTCTCCCTCAGACGTCTACTGACATTAGAATAATCATCTTCAATAGTTTTCAAAGTATCAGGAAGTAAACATAATTTAGCACCAAGATCACGCCACTTGGAGTCATCAAAATTGCCTTTCTTTAATGATGAACGTACATCTCTTAGATAAACAATGTCCAAAATATGAGGAGTGCCTTTTACTAAATGATTATAATAGCATAACAAAATAGACAAATCTCATTTATTAATTTATTATAAAATAACATACATGTACTAATTTCAGTTTCTTCCTGTAGAAAGTGAATTTGACATTCTTCTACAATATAAATTACAAATTATAATTATCTCCTGTGCCATCATTAACTCACTGCGTATATGATCAGCTACAGCTTTTTGACCTATTGTGTCAAGAGCATTAGCAAGAGAGGCATAGGTTGCTCCGCCAGATTCATTCACAGCATCAGTTCTTTGTAACCAGGCAGTAAGACATTCTCTAAGAGGAGCTTCTCCTTTGGTGTAACTATGCTGTATGTTTGAGAGTGTTGGCTGCTTATATAGACCCAACTCTAGACCAAGTCCCTCCCAATCACCATTAAAATGACCTTCTCTGAGTAATTTCAATATTTCTCTAAGATCCTTGATATCAAGTGACTTTGGACCTGCACAATAAAAAATATTAAAAATATAAGTCAAAATAATGAGCCAGAATAATGAACAATGAGAAGGAAGGAAATAATAATTTTTAAATTAATTAAATTACCTTTATTTGGGTTCTGGTAAGTAACATGAAGCCAGCTCCAGTACTTCTCTTGCCCACTGATAATTGCGGACTCGTCACATAAGTATTCAACTTTCTCTTCAGCTTCATTTGTGACAATACGATAGCAGTCTTTTGAACAGCAGGCAAAGGCAAACTCATGACCATCGGGTTTCAAGTTAATGGCGACACTACTGCTATTAATAGCTTCTGTTACTGCTTCAAGAATAAGTGGGCAGTATTTTAGAACTTCGCCTTTGAAATAAATCTCAATGCATTTGTTTTTCTTAATGAGATGAATGGTGCCAATTTTTTCCTTGTGAACAAAAACACGAAATGACATAGCGTCTCGACATCTTAAGTACATGTACTTTTGATGTGTAGAAGTATCTTTGGTAGGAAAACGAAATTCTGGTTGCTTGAATGTCCTTAAATTGACAACTAATAGAGGAAAAATTCCACGGGGAACAGGTAAAATTTCTTCAGTGACAAGGTTGCGCCAGACTACTAGTAATGGGTGAATGATATCTGATTCTGGAGGAGGACCAGTATAAGGAGGCAGTGCAGAAGGAATGAAATAACCATCATTTGTCTTGGCAATAATGTGTAGGTGAAGCAAAAGCTCAATGAAATCAGGCGTAGAAAATTCCTTGTCACCATTCAACATATCCAGCAGTGATTTAGTGAATATTCCTCTTTTCCTTAGGTTTTCTAGATCATCAGAATCTAATATATTTACCCCTTCCTTTGTAAGGAGAGACAGATGAGCTACATCAATATTGTAAGTAAGAGCTAATAAGCGTGATAGAGTATCGAGAATAGGATGAGGATCAACAAATACTAAGTTGGGTAAAACTTCAGGAAAATAAAGAATAATGGTAGCATTGTGCAGATACAGTAAAGCCTGCTCTGTATCTTTTTCCTCCATTTCAAGGCTCCTACCAATAGATAAGACATCGTGCTTCTTGAGGCAGCTGCCATTTCCTGCTTTCTTTAGCAAAGTCAGCTCAAAAGCAAACCATCGTACTGGCATAGGGAATGTATCATTCGAATTCTTATCATTAAGTATTAGATCACAAAGCTTTTTGGACATTTTTTGTCTTTCAGGACCAGATTTGAGCATTGTATTGACTGGGTACATGATTTCACCAAGTTTGGCAGGAATGATGCGATAGCCTTTTTCTGCTTTATACCCAGATGTTAATGATGACAACTCATCATTATAATTTTGGATCTTTTCTGGTGTTACTTTGTCATGATCACTGTGAGTGCCCAGAACAAAATATCCTGGGTACTTATTGTGATAAGGCTGTGAAACAGCTCCAGAGGACAGCACATCTTTTATAAACTCAATATTTGAATATGAGAAATCTGAATCACAAGGAAATGATTTCCCATCAATTCGATATTGTAGATCAAGCTTCTCGTCAAGATCTTTAGAAAGGTCTATTGTGATGATGTTCAAAGAAGCAGGTCTAGTAAACAAAGGCAATAACTCCTGAAATGCTGTCTGTCCACCAGAATCAACAATGTATACCCAATTACAATTTAAATTAGCTTTTGCTTTGGGAATGGCTTTAACAATATCTTTACATATTATCTTTGCATCAGGATCATCTGCTGGCTCTGTATCTGCTGTATCTACTGATTCAATTGTATCTGCTGATTCTGTTGCTATAGTCTCAGGACTATCAGAAGGAATGGTTTCTGAAGACTTCTTCTTTAACTTTGTGTCATAACCTTCTTTTGTTGTTTTCTTTTGTTTAGATGAAGCTCCCTCTTGTTTTACTGCACTTTCCTTTAAATCACCTGCCAATCTTGAAAGAAGAGCTTTAGCATCAACTCTTTCCATACAATTATCATGGGCAGATATTCTTGTAGCTTTGACAGCACGACAAGTTATTGGTGTACTGTCAGTGACAGCTACTTGAGGTGGATCTTCATTTAGTAAGAGATGCTGAGAACATGTTTTACCAGAGCAAGGAGGACCAAGCATTTGAACACGTTTAACAGTTAGATTGACTTCACCTTCTTGTAACCATTTAGATACAGCATCTATGAAAAAAATGAAATGTTAGAGCTATTGATTAATCATTAGCTATAGAAATCACATGTGCTCATTGGCACTATGCATATTTATGTTACTATGATAAAGCCACCTGCCCAAATCAGCCCTGTAGAATTTTCTAGCTATATGTAGTGTACATGAGGAGAGAAATTCTGCAGTACAAAATTTCTGCAAATTGCTATCAAAATGGCTTTTGTGGATTTAATTTATTTTTGCAAATTTACCACACCTTTTAATTTAATTAGGTCATTAATTTGTGTACCAAATTTTTGAGGATTGATTTTCAAATTCAAAAAATTAGCAGAAATTTTAGGCCATAGAAATTTTTAGCTATAAAGTATATATAAGTGGTCTTTTATTGCCCAGTTAGATGAATGTAACATTTAAGGGGCAAACCCAAGCTAGCAAAACATTTATGCACTCGATCTAGCAAAGCATTGTATATGCATTAATTCACTTTGACATCAATCTCACTTCTATGTACATGCACACCAGATTCTTCATTTCTTGCTGTGAAGCTGTTTCACTCATAAAATACCATGAGTTATATATCTAGTCCATGCTTTAAAACTTTAAATTATTGTTACATTATTTTATTGTATTCATGCTTATAGTCTGGTCCCGCCTCTTCCTTGCACGGCAAAGAGGTGGGGCCAGACTATCATGCTTATAAAATTCAATAGCACTTTAGAGCTTAGATAGCATTATTCTTCACCTAATTGTAGGAATTTATTTTCATCATTGAAAGTGGATTCACCAATGCCAATAAACCTTATCTTGACAAGTTTACCAGATAACTTTGCAAGTATGTCTTTGATGTCATCTAGTAATTCCTCACTAGGTTCCCAGTCAAAAATGTAAGTCACCGATTCGCACTGAAGAAGAGAGTAAGTTGTAGAAACTTCAATAAGCCTTTCTTTTAGATAGCAAGCAATAGGACTGTATTGAAAATATTCCCTTGAAAAATCACAGTATTCTTTGATGTGCTTCTCAGCTGCTTCAATTTGAAAATTTTCTACTACTGCACAGAAAAGTTCAATGTCGATCAATGAGCATTCTTTATCAACAAGACGTAAGGTGCTTGAAATATTTTGACACTCTTCTAACTTCTTTTCAAGTTTATTGTCCATGCTAATGATAAAGTCCTTCAAATCTTCCAATTCAATGTTTGCATCTCTGATAGCCTTTCGAACATTGTATGACATTGTGGCATAAGATGACCTAAGAGTGGTGATTCTTTCCTCTTGCTTCTGGGATAACAACTTCAACTAAATTGTATGGATAGAA